CCGCCCGCAAGCCCCGGGCCCCGTGTTCGCAGCGGGGGTGCGGTCCTTGGACACCAGCCCCGCAGATGGACGGGCGCTGACTCTCCGCAGAATGACATCGGAGAGTGAAAAGCCAGGACAATTCCTTGGCAAGTAGAATGGGGAAACTGAGGCAGAGAGCTGGACAAACTGTGCAATTTCCCGCCAGGTGCAGGTCAGCTCTCTAGAGATGACATCCAGGCCTCAGTTGTATTTCAGCTCTAGGCCAAGGAAAGCAGCAAAACCAGGTGGGCACAGGACCCGCTGCAATGACTGATGGCCCTGCCCAGCCTGGCGCCAACCAGCCAGCAGGGATGTGACCCTGACAGGTGCACCCGGAAGCTGATGCGCATCCTGCTGAGACCCTCCCCGAGACCTTCCCAAGACTCCCGCCTGCAAGAGAGAAATAAAAACCCGCACGCACGCACGCACTCTGCCCCTGGGGAGCATACCCGTGCCTTCCCCTCTTCTTCCCCCCAGGCACGCACCTTCGAAACCTTAAGGGTCCCCAGGAAACAGGCACCCAGGGAGCAATGGGCAGTGGCAGCTCTCCCTGGATGAACCCCCCTGAACTGTCCCCGAGGCCCTCGGTTCTCCGACTTCCCAGTGAGCTAGGCAGCCCAGCCTACGCCTCCTGTTGCTTCTTCCAACTCCGTCCTTGTTTCACTGTCCCCAACTTTAATAAACACTCACGATCCCCTCGACTCCTGTTGTGAAATCTTTTTTGCACAAAGTCAAGAACCACACGCCACCAGCCAGTTCTAGGCAGACCCGCTCAGAGCCTGGCTCCCTCCCCTGTCTGGTAACCGAGGATGAGCCCTGGTCCCCACTCACACTGAGGGCTGCCCGCCCACCCCTGCCCCCCACTCCTGACTCCTATCCCACCTCACTCCCCTCCCCAAACCCAGGCAGGCTGACTACAGGCCCCCATGCGTGGTGACACCACCGACGAGGATTCCATGATGACTTATGCTTAGAAAGAACATGTTTTGGGAACCAAAACTCAGTGTAAGGACCTACGACAGAGCCACGCCCCGCGGCTGCCAGCACAGGAGAGGGAACCAGGCCACAGTGCCCATCGTGTAGCCTCTGGCGGAGCTGCTGCCCCCCGTGGGCTCTCCCGTGGCTTCCTGAACTGAAAGTCACACCCAGTGCATTCAGGAATCCTGTGCCGACGGTGTGCCAGGGACACGTCAGGAACACGCTGCTGCAGGGTCCCTGCCGGAGGTGAACAGCAATGTGCACGGGGCACTCTGTGACCTGCCTGGCTCCCCGTGTGCCAGCCATCATTCCTCCTCTACACTGAGGACTCCCCGACGCGGAGCACCCTGACCCCCTGCAGCCACCTGGACCCAGGTTTCCCCAGCCCCCCTACCAGCCGCCGTCGGTCTGCTCTGGCTGGGCCTCCTGGCCCCGTGTCCCTCGACCTGGAACACCACTGCTCGCAGAAAAGAACATGTTTCACTGCTGTCCTCGGGCCACTGGGCAGTGGGGTCACCGGGGTGAGTGGAAAGGGGACAAGAATGGGGAAAGTGTGAGGGTATTTCTCAAGTTGTGTAACTTCCCCAGCAAGTTGTTTTGAGAACTTTGCTTCCCCAAAGTGGCCACCAGCCACACCCACAGGAGATCCCCTTGGTGTTGCATTTTGGGATATTCACTGGTGAAAGAATAACACCAGTGTTTGACCTAGCACTGGCCTGCAGAGAACCTTCTAGAGCAGGACCGTCTGCAGAGAAGGCGACCACAGCGTGAGTCCAGGCGGTGTCACTCACCAAGTGACAAGGCAGGCGCCCTTCCTGTGTCCCTTCTCTAAAAGGAATTTGTGCAGGTGCATGTCTGTAACCATGGCAAACCCCCATCCCCACCCCACCCCCCACACCGGCAGGAACAGGAATCCTTCCTCATTTCGGAGAAAACAGCTGCATCTCCCTTGGGTGCCTGACCTGGCAATCACGCAATCACAGGGCCCCGCTGGGAGGGGTGCCTGGGGGTGTCCGGAAGGGGCTTAGAGAGGCTCTGTCAGGCTGGGGTGGGGGGAGGGCCAGCAGCAGCACGCAGGTGGGGTTGTTGTGGGACGGAGCCCAGTTTGGCTGGGTGTTGGAGGCAGGGTGAGCCCCCGAGGGGCTCAGGGGTCCAGAAAAGCAGTCTGCCTACTTTCCCTGTTGCCAGAGCTGCAGACGACCTTAACAAAGTTCGGTATTTGTTTCTTGGTATTCTTTTTTTAAAAAAAATGGCTCCATACTGTTTAAATTTCACACCCCCAAAACCTGGACCCACACTTTAAAAATATATATATATTTTTATTGATTTCACAGAGGAAGAAACATCAGTGATGAGAATCACTGACCGGCTGCCTCCTGCAGGCCCCCTACTGGGGATCGAGCCCGCACCCCGGGCATGTGCCCTGCCCAGGAATGGAACCGTGGCCTCCAGGTTCATAGGTCAAGGCTCAATCCCTGAGCCCCGCTGGCAGGCCTGGACCCACACTTTCAAGGGACAGCGGGGGGAGGATGGGGGGGCAGGGGGTGAGAGAGGCAGGAGCTTGCACCAGGGAGGTGTGGAGCAGGGTGATGGAGCTGCTCACAGAGGAAGAAACATCAGTGATGAGAATCACTGACCGGCTGCCTCCTGCAGGCCCCCTACTGGGGATCGAGCCCGCACCCCGGGCATGTGCCCTGCCCAGGAATGGAACCGTGGCCTCCAGGTTCATAGGTCAAGGCTCAATCCCTGAGCCCCGCTGGCAGGCCTGGACCCACACTTTCAAGGGACAGCGGGGGGAGGATGGGGGGGCAGGGGGTGAGAGAGGCAGGAGCTTGCACCAGGGAGGTGTGGAGCAGGGTGATGGAGCTGCTGCCCAAAGCTGGGCTCATGGAGGGGGCACCCTGGATTTTGGGTGGTCAAGGGGACTCCCTGGCTCTAGAGGACAGGAAGGGGATGCACCAGGCTCACATATGCAGGGAGCCAAAGGGGTGCTCCTCCTTGGGGTCCTGCTCCCAGCTCTGGGACGTTGGCCTCAGCTGTACCTGGCTGGGGTGAATGCCGGGGTGACCAGAGGCTGCCCAGCACCCAAAGTGGAGTGGAAGTGGCCAGGAGCCTGGGAGCTAGGGAGGGTGGGAGGCTCCCTGTGGAGGGGTCTCTGGCTCCCGGGAGGTCCTCATTTATCCCTCTGGCCTCCAGCCAGCAGACCTAGGACCGGTCCGGCCCTCCTGCCTGGCCGTGCCTCACCCTCCAGAGGCCAGTCTAGGATAGGCCACTAGTCGCCTGTGAAGGCTGGTTCCAGGGCGGGGGAGAGGCCAGCACCTCTCCCCGGAGACCAGCCAAGAGCCAGGCTCACCGCTCAGGCAGGAAGGAGACTTCCCCCGAGGCAGGGCCCTCCCCAGGTGCTGGGGAAGGGATGCCCTGCCCAGAGTGAGGAAGAGCAGCAGGGCAGAGAGCACAGCAGGCACGGCACCCCTTTGCCCCCCAACTCTGGGAGGCAGCCTGGGGTGGGAGTGGGAGCCCCCGAGGCCTAGCCCGCCTGTCCTGACTCCTCAGACTCCTCGCACCCGGGACTCAGCTCTTTCAAGGCCTCTAGGATGCAGGTGCTTTTGTTGTGGGCAGTTTTCAACAGGGATCCGGGGATCCGAAGGCGAGGTCACCCAGTGAGGACCTGAGGGGCAGGGTTTGGCCTGGGCTCTGGGAAGGACTGAGCAGGACACAGGGAGGGGGCTTGGCGATGGTGGGGGGACTGGAGACCTCCAGGTGGGGAGCTGAGCAGGGTGGGGGGGCGCTTGGGGAGGAGGGGCTGCCTGTCCCCAGGGCCATGGGACTGGTAGAGGGCGGAGTGGGCTGGGGACACGAAGCCATTGGCTCCCTGGTGAGCGCCAGGCCCTGCTCGGGCGCTGGGGATGGAGGAAAACCCGCGCTGGCGGAGTGAATGCCGCTGCCACGAGCAGACAGGCGCCGGGCGCCCAGCACCAATGCGGTGGTTGTGGGGGCCGCTGGAGCCCAGCCCTGAGTGGTCAGGGAGCGCTTGGCTGAGGCCGGGGAGCTGGGCTCCCAGGGAAATTTGCACAGAACAGACCGACCCTGGGAGTGGCCGAGAGTGCCCCGTGATGGGGGAGGAGGGTGCGCGGGTGCCACCTGCACCCGGGCAAATCCAGGGCCTCCGGCTGGTGCCTCCTCAGAGGGGGTCTCCACTCAGGAGCAAGTGCCGCCCTGTGAGCTTCAGAATGGTGGTGGGCCCGTCCCTGTGCCCCGGCAGGAGGCCCGTCCTGACCCACAGGCTCGGGATGGACGTCTGGGTGGGGACAGGTGGCCAGGGCTGGGTGCCTGCGCTCGGGGGCTACCTGGGGACCCACCCCTGCTTTCTGGGGTTCTCGCAGCGGGAAAACACGGGAGCAGCCGCCACACCGAGGTCCCTCACGTCAAACTGCTTTATTTCAGCTTAAATAACAGGACAGTTGAATGCAGGGCCGACCTCGCGTCCAGCTTCCTTGCAGCACACGGACTGAAAATTAAATACAAAAGGGAGAGCAGGTGCAGGCGGCCTACAGGGTGTCGCTTGGAGGGCTCCGCCCCGCGCCCCGCAGACCCAGGCCCACGTGTCCACGTGTCCACGTGTGCAGGGGCGCAGACAGCCAGCGGGAGCGCCCGGGCGGGCCCAGCACCCCGCCCCCCAGCACAGCGGGCGCTGCTGGGACACCTGCGGGACGGCTGGGGGCACCGGGAAGTCTGTGTTAGAAAACGACCTGCCTCAGGTGCAGAGGCTGGTTCCGCAGGACACGGCCGTGAGGAGTTACAGAGCCGGCCGGTCTCCGCTCCCTGCCCACCCCACCCCCCAAATCCAACAGCATCATTTGGAACAGGACTTGGTGTTTGTTTTTAAGAAATAAAGGAAACAGTGCCTTATCCTGCTACTCAAGCGTGTCGCGCTGCTTACGGTGCTGCTTCCGGTGCGTGCAGAGTGGCAGCGATCGTGGCTGGAGCCGGAAATGGTTACAACTTGAAAGAGGTTATTCGTAAAGAAAAAGAACACCTAGGCCTGAGCGCTAACGCACACATGAGCATTCCTACAGCATGCGAGTCTAAGAGTTAGCCCCCAGTGCGGCCAACGATCCAATTGTTTAAAATTTAACTTAGAAAGTTTGAGATCATTATTTTCAAAACATTGATTTTTACATTGTTTCATACACAAATAATTGACTGACTATCCAAGCACAGGACGGGCACCTCTCTCGAACACAGAGGTTGTGACAGGGGGCGGGGCAGGGGTAGTGTTAGGCTATTATTATAAACTCCCCACGTCACAAGGAAACCCCAGGGGAGGCTGGGACTGAAGGGAGAGGCAGAGGACGCGGGGAGAAAGGTGCCTGATTGGACTCTGCTGGTCACCACGCTCGGGTCTGCTCTTTCTGTGCCATGTCTGTGCAACAACCATGTGACACTAGACAAAAAAATTTTAAAAACAGGGACTAAATTTACATCATTAACAACTTCAGAGAGGCCGCGCTAGACCCTCTCTCTCTGTTTAACTACTAAACACAAAGATATTGTAAAAAGGAAACATGAATGTTTTCAAATCCTGTTACAAACACCACCTGGAATTTGGAGCCGATGACAAGATCCAGTCCTCGACTTGCTCTGCTCGAGCGTCAGACGGGGTCCCGGACCTGAGCCCAAGCCCACGCGTGGCCAGGTGTGTCTGCCTCACGCTACACTGAGCTCCTTGGTGGCGAACATTCTGACTCTAGTATTTCCTTCTAACTTCATTCAAGACAAAAAGCAAACAAAGACAATGGTCCCGGGAGGATGCACGACGCGTCGAGTTCACAGCAGGGCTTCTCTCGTGGGATTGTGCTCTTGGTTCCAGCAGGAAGTGAAGGGAAGATCGTGCCCTTTTGCAGTTCGAGGGAGGGCGTCCGCGTTAGTCGGGAGGATTGGAAATGCGATCGCTGCAACGCTTCGGGGTGGAATGGTCTTCCAGTCACGGGCGTCCGCCTGCTGCTGGAAGCAGAGTTTAGAGACGTGAGCAAGAGCCCCGAGAGCGTTCTGCTCAGTGAGTGAGTCAGAGAAAGACAAGCACCACATGGTTTCACTTATATGTGGAATCTAATGAACAAAATGAACTGACAAACAAAACCAAACCAGCGTTTTCTGCCACCCTGGACCCTGCGGAGGCTGCTGGGAACAGGACTCTTATAAGGACAAGTATGTCCACAAAGCTGTGTCCAAGGCCATTTTTGACGGCTATAAGCGGGGTCTCCAGAACCAGAGGGAGCCCACAGCTCTCCTTTTTTTAAAATATATTTTTATTGATTTCAGAGAGGAAGGGAGAGAGAGAGAGAAGCATCAACAATGAGAGAGAATCATTGATCGGTTGCCTCTTCCACGCCCCACACTGGGGATTGAGCTCGCAACCTGGGCCCTAATCGGGAATCGAACTGTGACCTCTTGGTTCATAGGTTGATGCTCAACCACTGAGCCACAGTGGCCAGGCT